CCAGAATAAGGATTCTAGTATATTGTCTATTTGGGGTCCCCCTGTTTATGGAAACTACCACTTCAGGTCCAAGGTGGTTTCAAACTTTTGTAAAGGTTTAGGGTTTAGGGTTTAGGGCCCCACCTTTGGAATGTAGTCGAAGTCATCACGCCAAATCCAACCTCGAACACCAAGGATGTGCTCAAACCAACTATTACGGCTTTAGGGTTTAGGGTTCAGGGATCATTAGTACAATTGCTATGATTCATAAAACCTACTACTATGATGTAAAAAAACTACGACTATTTCCATTTCTAGTACTAGTCACCCAGACCCCCCTAGGGATCTAAAAATTAAATCCTCTAGAAGACTATGGGGAATTATATCGGGATTTTTTTGGGGTTATTATGGCTTGATATAGCGGATCTATTGTTAGATCCTCCCAGGGGTCTGGGCGATCAACAATCCAACCAGGCCTAGTCCTGTGGCATCCAGGCCTTTGAAGAGCATCTCCTGAATCAAACAAGCACTTCCACTGCAAAAGGGTTTAGGGTGCAGGGTTTAGGGTTTTAGGGTTTAGGGTTTTAGGGTTTAGGGTTTTAGGGTTTAGGGTTCACGGTTTGGAAGACACTGAGGACATGACGGCATTGCCTCCGAACCCCAAGTGCTGCGCACTTTGGACGAAGTCTGCCTGCGCTTACTAGGCAAGAACCACTGTGCCTTTGTGCCATGCTAAGCCCTTAACCCTAAATGGTAGTTTCCATGTTCTTCCATTATCCCTACATAACCATATACAATCCCTATTTGCTGGATATATACTCCCCGTATAGGCGCATTATTGGGGATATGAGCCACTGTCTAAACTCCTAGTATCCCCCTTAATATGGCCTATAATAATATAACCCCTAATCCCCATTAACTACCCTATAATCCCAGTTTCCATTTCATTTTCCATTTTCTTTTCCATTTGATTCTCCATTATTGGGGATATATTCCCTATATACCCCCCTTTAAGGAGTTTAGACTATGGCTCATATGATATTACCCATTGGCTCATATGAAGCTTCTGCGTTCCTTCGTCAACTTGTTCTTCTGGTCGTAATCGAACAAACGCCAGGCCTGCCCACCAACCATGTCGCACAGATGCCCTCAAGAAGCAGGAAATCCACGGTGTAGGGTTTAGGATTTAGGGTTTAGGGTTTGGGGTTTAGGGTTTAGGATTTAAGCTACTAGCAATGGTAGTAATGATGCCCATGGTATTACTACCAGAGAAGCAGGAAATCCAATTGGTCAGCGGCGCTTGCAATCATGAGAGGGCGCATTCACAGGACTAGCTGCCTTGTCCAAATCGTAGCCAGATGCCTGAGGCATATGTTATCCGGTGCACAGCAGCGGAACCCTAAACACTATAGTCCCCCTCAAGTAGATGGAATGTGGCTTTGCGTATATTATAATAAGATCCGCATATACCCTCTTTTTAAGGGTATAGTCCACCTTAAGTAGATGGAATATGGGGTATATGGAGATCGTATTATAATATACCCAAAGCGATATTCTATCGATGTAAGTGGGGCTATAAGCCCTAAAACCTAATGACACATTCGCAGAATTGATGCCGCTCGGTAGCTTCCCATATGAGCTCTGCAAACTCCTCCACGTGAGCAGCTTCTGTTGGAGCCAGCTCTGCAAACCTTACTCCAGGTTTACGGTTTAGGGTTATCTTGCATGGCATGCAGTGCTGGCCGGATACCAGATGCGGTATCCTGCGCTACAGCTGCCGACGTATCGATACTAAAAATCCTGCATGACCTTGGCATACTACAGTAGCAGAATTCCCCATGTATAAGGTTGGGATCAAGGATATGTCAAGGATATGCAGGATGTTGAACATCACCCGTATTTCCTGCATACTGGGTAGTTTCCAAAATAAAGGCCACCCAATATAGATCCCAAAGTACTATAGCCTTTTTTCTAGGGGACCCAAAACGGTAGCCCCGATTCTGGAAAACCCTATTTGTGGCCAGGTGACTCAAGCGCCTTGTCATCGTTCGGACGCAGCGATGTCCATATTTGCCGACACTGGCCCTGCAAACCAAGACGGCGGCAGGCATTCCTCAGTGTTTAGGATAGGGAAAAACGGGATGTAGGGGATTCTGTAGGGCTTCACAAGGTTACAGGGTCCGAAGGGAGTAGGGCTTAGGGTTTGAGGTTAGGGTTGAGAGTTGGGGGGAGGGTTCTCAGGTTCTATGGAGTTCTGTAGGGTTAGATAAGGTCGCGAAGTGTTATATGGGGCTATATCATATATAGGGTAACCCTAAACCCTAAACCCTAAACCCTAATATAGGGATTTATATGGGGAGCTCTCAGGGATGAAAATTTGAGGAGGTCTTGCTTCATAGTAAACGGACCTAAACCTTAAATCCACGGGTTTTGGGTTTTGGGTTTAGGGTCTAGGGAGATGCTTCCTACAAGTGCTCAAGACATTCCCAATCCCTAGACGAGCCATAGCCTAAACTCCTTAAAGGGGGATTATCATCGGGTATTATATAGGGGACTATTATAGGGGTTCTTAAGGGTGATACTAGGAGTTTAGATTATGGCTCTTATAAGCCCCCTATATGGTAGTTTCCAGATCCGCATGTTCTTTTCAACTTGCTTCTCCTTTAATGGGATAATATGTCCCTATCGCTTTCCCTGTATAATCCCTATATATCTTCCGAGTAAAAGGCAAAGCAAATGACAGGTACTCGGCATGTTCAAAAGCTCTTGCACAACCCCACCCTAAAACCCTAAAACCCTCCGTGCCCAGCCCCCAAGCGGCGCAAAGTCAACGAAGGTGACGGTGCCATTTTGCTTCACATCCAAGTCCAGGCGCCAAGCCCGGAGCCTAGGGCTTAGGGTTTGGGTTTAGGATTTAGAGATCAAGGATTAGGGTTTAGGGTTTAGGGTGTAGGGTTTAGGGATTTAAGGTTTAGGGCTTAGGATTTGGGGATCAAGGATTTGGGTTTAGGGTGTAGGGTTTAGGAAATTAAGGTTTAGGGTTTAGG